ACGACCACATATTCTTAAACAACTCAACTTAAAAACTGAAGAAAGGTGAAAGTGAAAGTGAAAGTAAGCTGGAAAGATACTAGAGTTGTCAATCTTTTAACAAATATCCCAGGTAGGCATATAAGCTTATTATTTGTAACAAATATTAAAATTATATTAAGTGTGTATAAAATATGAAAAGTTTGTTTATGAAAAATTAGTAAATGCAAAAGTAAAAAGACTGCTAAAATACATTTTACAATACAGTCAATCTCCTGTAAAAAACGAACTTAAATTTAGAAAAATGTGTTTGACCTATATCTTGTACTTTCATTTTATATATTTTTTTTTCTCTCCTAAATTACCTCCCTTGAAATTGAAACATTCAGCTGTCAATCATGTATAGTTCTATATGGAACTCAATATAATATTATCCTGGTGGGAGAAGCTAAGCGACTGTATTGAATATTATTATCACAAAATGGCTGTCAGGAATTGATTGTTTACTTTTCAAAACGATCGTATCTAATGATTTGGGAATTTAGGATGCGTCATTCAGTGAAAATATGACAGAAATATTCTTGAAAATATATAGGTGATCTTACATTTCAAAATCAATTATGGCAATCTTCAGAAAAACATAAAAAAGGTACTTGAAAGGCAAGGGGTAAGATGGGTTCAATTTAAATAATAATTCAATAAAAAATATTTTTTTCAAAACTTTAAACATTCTTTGATAGTCTGGCAGAGTAATTATAATTAGTGATAAAGTAGAACTGTTGGTTAAATGGCACAGTTGACCTTTCTTTTGGAAAACATCATGACAATACTGGTGCTGTAGAACATGATATAGTAGACCTCCCCTCAAGTTGAAACTGAGATCAAATTTCACAGGTCATTGAAAAATGTCAGACTGACAAAAAATTAGATAAACATCCCTGGATTTGACTCATACGACCTTTCAAAAATTACATATATGAAGATATCATGAGTATATAAAAGCCATTATTGAAGAAATATTGTAAAGTGTAAATGTAGGCTTAAGTAAGGTAGAATTACTGTTGTGGGAAATGTGTTATTACTGCTCAATATAATGGTGTCTGCGTTTTGAGGTTTTTTTTCCTGCAGATATGGGGTGTGCATTATTTACGGAGACAGATTTTTCGGATTAACCCAAGTCAAAAAAGTGGTTAAAATACATTTGACTTTTTTATGTATTTTACTACTGGTATTAAAATTACAATTCAAGAATCATTTAATAGTCAATGGTGTTTATTGTCTACTCAACATCAATTAGGTTATTTTAAGACCGAGCCTACATAATACAGGCAATGGAGGTTATTGTCTACTCAACATCAATCAGGTTATTTTAAGACAGAGCCTACATAATACAGGCAATGGAGGTTATTGTCTACTCAACATCAATCAGATTATTTTAAAACAGAGCCTACTTAATACAGGCAATGGGGGTTATTGTCTACTCAACATCAATCAGGTTATTTTAAGACAGAGCCTACATAATACAGGCAATGGAGGTTATTGTCTACTCAACATCAATCAGATTATTTTAAGACAGAGCCTACATAATACAGGCAATGGAGTTTATTGTCTACTCATTATCAATCAGGTTATTTTAAGACAGAGCCTACATAATACAGGCAATGGAGGTTATGTCTACTCAACATCAATCAGATTATTTTAAGACAGAGCCTACATAATACAGGCAATGGAGGTTATTGTCTACTGAACATCAATCAGATTATTTTAAGACAGAGCCTACATAATACAGGCAATGGAGTTTATTGTCTACTCAACATCAATCAGGTTATTTTAAGACAGAGCCTACATAATACAGGCAATGGAGGTTATTGTCTACTCAACATCAATCAGGTTATTTTAAGACAGAGCCTACTTAATACAGGCAATGGGGGTTATTGTCTACTCAACATCAATCAGGTTATTTTAAGACAGAGCCTACATAATACAGGCAATGGAGGTTATTGTCTACTCAACATCAATCAGGTTATTTTAAGACAGAGCCTACATAATACAGGCAATGGAGTTTATTGTCTACTCATTATCAATCAGGTTTTTTTAAGACAGAGCCTACATAATACAGGCAATGGAGGTTATTGTCTACTCAACATCAATCAGATTATTTTAAGACAGAGCCTACATAAAACAGGCAATGGAGGTTATTGTCTACTCAACATCAATCAGTTCATTTTAAGACAGAGCCTACATAATACAGGCAATGGAGGTTATTGTCTACTCAACATCAATCAGATTATTTTAAGACAGAGCCTACATAATACAGGCAATGGAGTTTATTGTCTACTCATTATCAATCAGGTTATTTTAAGACAGAGCCTACATAATACAGGCAATGGAGGTTATTGTCTACTCCTTAATATCAACTATGACAATTAAATAACTTTTGTTATAACCATTTTTTTTTTCTCCCAGACTGCCAAAATTCAGTTGTGACTTAACATTTTTATTTTTTTCATTCCTCCGACTCTGAACTTGAGCTCCAAAAAGTTCCTTAAACAAGATATAAAAAAAACTGCGGCCTGATCATAGAATAGCAAGGGAATATTTGGCTTTCAAAAGTCACATCATCTGCAAGTGCCAAAGCAGTTTTCTAATATTCCTTTGATCTAAATTTGTTGGGGGATTTGTGTAAATACATCATATAATTTAATCATTTAATTAATAATTTTTAATAAAGGTTTTGATTAAAGGCATGCAAATATTTGGGCTGTATGCAGCGATCGTACTTTGAATAAAGTTGAACTTTGGTTTAAGTCAGACTTAATCTTAACTTTATTTGGTACGACAACTTCTGCTATGGCCTTAAAGTATGGAAGACCAGTGTTGTAAGAAATAAAGCAAGTTTAATTAATGATACGAACCGGAAAACGGAACGCGAAATCCAAAACAACATTTAGGCAAAACATTAGTAGCAGCTAATGAACTTTTCACATGAAGCACATCAATCAAGTGAGTAAGTACATGTATTTCACAGGTGTCAGGGCCCTGTTTCTCAAAAATCGTATGACTTACAACTTAAAACTAAACTTGCGATTGTCTTAAGTTTACGATTACGTGCGTTTCTCAAAGACTATCGTAAGTGTCACAAATAATTTTAAGATAAAAATTGTTGTACGATTGAGATGTTAAACTTAGGATGTGCAATACCGACTTTGTAGCAGATGACAAATTGTCATTTGGAAAGTGAGACGAGAAGAAAATCGAAGTGTACGAAAAATTTCGTTTCTTTGTCAAAGAAGTTAGCCTACTGAAAATATATCTCTGGTAAAATGGAAATCTTCATCCTCAATAAAGCTAAATTTTAGAATATAGCTACAGAAAGTAGTCTGTAGGCCTATTTTGGCAAGACTGAGTGTGTAGAATATGTATAAATGAAAATAAGGGAACCCATCCTTAAGGCATAACATGTACTTACTCACTTGATTGATGTGCTACGAGCTCGGAAATTTTGATTTCCACAACACCAACACCAACTTTGAAGTTATCCACTATTATACTATTTAGCCCGCAGCTTGACGTTCGCATATCAAGCGAAATGTCATTTTTGACAATCAATTGGTTATTGCATGTGGCCATCTTGCTTTTTCACCTATCTTGCTATGAATTCTCATGTTTTGTTTGCAATTCACTTCAATATTAATAGAATGGCAGTCTTTGCGGTTTCTGAAAATCTGACTATCTGGTTCATATTGCTCATGGAAAGTTAGCCATATCGTAGAATCTGTCGAACTCTGGTTATTTTCATTCTGAGATGGAATTTTTATAACAGCGGATCTGTGGCAAGCTTATACCATTGATATATCTTTGGCCGCTGACATTAGACTAATGGATTATATCCCTTAATTGAAATAACTGAAATTGTCAAATGCATACGAGCTTTAGTTATCATTAGTTGTTACACAGATGGAATCTGTATAGTTTGATCACAGCATTGGTAAATATTGGCCTCTATCATAATCTCCACTACATCTGCCTTTGAAAATCTATACCTATCCATAAATCTGGTATCATCCAAATCTTCCAAAGAATAACAGCAGGGGTTTTCAACCTTTTTCTTTCTATTACCCCTTTCAGGATCCTTAAGGCTAGTGCACACGAGAGCTCCCAGCTGAGCAAAATTTCATTTGTGTTTCCCAGCTAAGCTTAGAGCTTTCGTAAACGGGGTGTCGAGTCATAGATGTCTAAAAATAACTAGATCATGTGACATCCTCACGTGACTTAAACAAAATGTCGGACGTCGACAACCCTTCGAATGATTCAGAATATGAAGAAATTTTACTTCTTCTTTTGTTGTTGCATTGTCTGCGACGAAGAATACTTGCAGGCTCTCGCAACCATTTTTGTTTGATCACGTCCTAGCGCATGTGCCCCAGTTCAAAGTTGAAAGCTTAGAGCTTTCGAGTGCGCACAAGGTAAGGTATTTTTCATTCGAGGAAAAAAAATATCAAACACGACAGATAATTTCTTTAACGCCTCGAATGAAAAAAACCTTATGTAAACTTCGTGCACACGAGAGCTACGAGCTGAGCTGAGAGGCACGAATAAAATTTCGCTCAGCTGGGAGCTAGCCTTTAAGCCAAATTTAAGATTTGGTAGGAGCACTGCTGTGGCCCTTGGGGTTTTGTTAGTCATTATGCTCTTTCTTTGAAGTTATGTTCAATGCTAATAAACATTAATAAAACTGTGTTTGATGACCGATCTTGAGACTCTATCCAATATTGTCTTGCACAAAAGATCAAAGAATTTTAATCATCAAGTATAAAATCATTGCAACTTAAATGTCTGTGTCACTATTGCATTTATACTTAAATTTAAATGGTTTAAGGTGGCAACTTCAGAAAAACAAGAAATGTTAAAAAATCATTTCTTTCTTTGTATATAGGTTTTCCATCAATTAACTTTTAAATAAATAAATAAAATTGAATAATTTTGGACAATACATAATCAATTTAATATTTACCATCAACTATCAATTTTGCTGAACTTTCTTTTCTTCCAAAGGAGTTTTCAGCACGAACCATTATTTCCCCCTTATCAGATGTTGTAACACGGCTCATTTTTAATTCAAATTCATTACCATGATATTTCTGCATATATTTATAACTTTGGTTTAATAAACTGTTATCTAAATACCTGAAATTGAATGACAAAGCATAGTAGTTATAAAAATATCTATCCAGTGTCATAAAGTTAGTGAGGTGACTGGTTAATTTAGGAGACGACCACAAACAAGTACAGGTAGCATGGATATTAAGTATTTTTGGTTTGAGGCTTAACCTGATCTCAACAGTAGATTTTTTAAGGTTAAATGTACATTTGTCAATGTCACATGAAGTGAGTTCTGTTTGGCATTACTAACAACACCTAAAAGGCAAACCTTTATTATTTTCAATCAAGAGCTGCTGAAACCAGCTGACCGAATGTTTAATAATTCCAGTTACTTAATGCTTTGGACAGTTTGTGTCAAAAGAAAACACAGGTGCATTATACATACAAGTGTTCAGTACTTTTATGTAATAACCAATTTTCTTACCATGTGATGATAGGTGGAGATGCTGCAACAATTTTACAATCGAATTTTGCAACTTGACCCTCACTAACGTGAACGTTACGTGGTTTTCTAACAAACCTTGGGGCAGCCTCACGTCGATCTGAAATTATTCATGAATGAAATTTTAGCATGTTTATTTGCAATTAGGAAAGAAGGGAAAAAATATGATCTAAACTTCCATCATTTAAAAACAGACTTTGAACTGAATCTCAAGCAAAGGTAGGTTCATAACTCAAGAGTTCAGTCTTAAGGATTAAGACCATTCATGCCTTAGCATTTCAAAACAATAAGATCGCTTTGTTTATTCACGCATAATATTTATCAATTAAAGCCTTTTTTCTTCATCCCTTCAAAGCATCATTATGTTTTAATTTTTTCACTTTACACCCCAATTTTCATGTCATATATTTTAAAATATGTACTTCTGTTTGAAATTTCAAGCTTCTTCATTTAATAGAGTGACATTCAGACTAAAAAAGCTGAAATATTATATTGTATATATTGTAATTTTGCATTGTATCAAGGTCATAAAAAAATACAAAATGGAAATTGCCAAGAAGCAAAAGCAAAATTAGATCCATGTAATTAACAAAATTATAAAGATAGCTTACCAGGCAAGGTAATATACACCCACTGGCAGCTTTGATTTTGAATAAAAACATTTAGCAGTACAGTAACAATCACCAGTATGAAATATTCAAACTTCAGTCAGACACTACCTTTGAGCTTTTTGAAATGATACTGAATAATAATACCAAGTTTTGTCAAAATCAAGCAAGAATTATGCCTCTTAGAGTGTAATATAAAACATTTTTTGATTTTCATAGAGTTCATCCATGTGTGATAACAAACAATTTCATCAAGGTGCAACAAAATCTGGCAAAAATTGTGCCTTCTAGAATGTTTAAGAGCTAAAAAATTGAACGCATTTCCAAGAACCAGGGTTCATCCTTGATTACAAACGCTCACACCAAGTTCCGACAAAATCAAACAAGAATCGTGACTTCTTGAGTGTTTATTAGAAATTGTGGATGGACTGACGGACATATAGGCTCCACTTTTAGATGTCTTTTCTGTATGTGGCAATGTCTCATAAAAAGAGGACTTGTCTTTTCAACTTCCAATCTCAGATAATTCTGGACATACATCGCTTTAAAGCCTCAAATTTCAACGGTGCACATGTACATTTAAAGGTATAGGTGCAGCATTTTTGAGGGGTTGATTTTAATTGGAATATATGTAAATTGTCTTCCAATGAACTAGAACTGCACCAAAATCGAATATCTTCAAATATACCTCAAACTAGTCATATCACCATTTATTTTTTTTCTTTCACAAACTTATCTTGTGTTTTTGGGAACCCTAAAAATTTTTACATCTTGTTGATCATGTCTATAATGTGAAACCATAGACATCCTTTGTATGAAACACTGATCTGGATATAACTAGATCTGCGCTATGAATTACGGGACAGATTTCTTTGCATTGTGGGAAGGATAATAACTAAATCAAATTTTGATCATCCAGATCAACCAATATTAACAAGATGTTGGCTTTTAAAATGAAGACTCGTTAAAATAGCTTTTAAACGTAAATAATCATGGATACACTTGGATTTGAAGGCTAAAATTTTAGGTAAACCGTGAATATTAGTACTGATTAGATTTGCGAAACAATTCAACTTTCTGAGATCAAGGTATGATTAACTCCCGGAAATGCCACATTTGTCCCTTTAAACTGTAATCTTTGAATACATTATACCAATCAGTCTACGTTTTTATACGCCCACATGGAAATGTGGATGTATATTGCCCCTGTCCGTCCGTCCATATTTCTTGTATGCACGATAGAGGCTACAGCTTTAAACTGATCTTGATGAAACTTGGTATGCATGTATATATTGCTGAGATTTCGGTCAAGTTCAAAATTGGTAATAATTGGAAGAACGGTTTCAGAGTTATTGCCCTTGACTTAGTAAAAGGCGTTAAAGGCCGCAATATTTATCTGATGTTCATGAAACTAAGTGTGCATGTATATATTGTTGAGATCTCAGTCAAATTTGAAATTGGTAATAATCGGATGAAGGGTTTCAGAGTTATTGCCCTTGACTTAGTAAAAACGTGTTAAGTTTGGCTTGTATGCATGATAAAGGCTGCAATTTTTATCTGATCTTGATGAACCTTATATTGCATGTATTTATTGTTGCGATCTCGGTCAAAGTCGAAACTGGTAATAATCGGATGAAGGGTTTCAGAGATATTGCCCATGACTTAGTAAAAACGCCTTAAATTTGGCTTGTATGCATGATAAAGGCTGCAATTTTTATCTGATCTCGATGAACCTTAGTACGCATATATTTATTGTTGAGATCATGGTCAAGTTTGAAATTGGTAATATCAGAAAAATGGTTTCAGAGTTATTGCCCTTGACTTAGTAAAAGATAGCTTGCCAGGCAAGGTAACATACGCCCACTGGCAGCTGTCAGAAATGATTAAACAGTCTTTAGTGACTACAGGGTTGCACAATATAGCTAATAGAGTGAAACGTCAAGTCAGACACGATATTTCGGTGAAAAATTATCCGATCATCACGAAAATCAATAGGGATCATCTTCGTAATGACATTGACACACAAAATAAAAATCAAAAGAATCTGTAAAAATTGTAGCCTGTAGAGTGAGCACGAGTTGCACAATATAGCTAATAGAGAAAAACGTCCAGTCAGACACGATATTTCGGTGAAAAATTATCCGATCATCACGAAAATCAATAGGGATCATCTTCATAATGACATTGACACACAAAATAAAAATCAAAAGAATCTGTAAAAAATTGTAGCCTGTAGAGTGAGCACGAGATGCACAATATAGCTAATACAGAAAAACGTCAAGTCAGACATGATATTTCGGTGAAAAATTATCGGATCATCACGAAAATCAATAGGGATCATCTTCATAATGACATTGACACACAAAATAAAGATCAAAAGAATCCATAAAGAACTGTAGCCTGTAGAGTGAGCACGAGCCAAATGTGAACGGACGGACGGACCGACGGGGTGATTACAATATACGCCCATCTTACGTGTGGGCATATAAAAAGTGTTAAATGTGACTTGTATGCATGATAAAGGCTCAAAATTTTATTTGATCTTATATGCTTGTAGATCTTGATAAGACCTCAGTCCAGTTTGAAATTGGTACGAATCGGATGGATGGTTTCAGAGTTATTGCCTTTGATGTAAAAATGCGTTGTATGCACGGTAAAGACTACAATTTTGATCCCATCTTGATGAAACTTAGTATGTTTGTATATATTGATAAGATTGAATTTGGTCATAATCGGATGAATGGTATTGCTCTTGACTTAGTAAAAACGCTTCAAATTTTGCTTGTAGTCATGATACAAGGTGCAGTTTTTATCTGAACTCAATGAAATTTGGTTTACATGTATATATTGATGAAATCTCAAGTTAAAAAATAGCGATGCCATCGTAAAACGCCCACATTTGTAATGGCAGCTAATTTGTCCGGGAGGTTGACAAGAGTTATCAGTAAATGAATGTCTCTGAGAGTGAAATTTTCATATTTCATGGGTTTTGTTTACAGCTTTTTTATTCAAGTGGGATTAATTTAACAGGTCAAGTTTCATTTAATCCATAAAGAATTGAATCTTTTGAGTGGCAGCAAGTGGCAAATCTTTCGATTCGTCTGATTTTCAATAGGGTTCATCCTTGAGTGATTTCAAACACTCACACCAAGTTTCATCAAAATCCATCAAGAAACCAGCTCTCTATCGTGCCACAAACAATTCCAGAACAAGGGCAAAAACTCATAGTAAACATTTTTCGATTCGTCTTATTTTCAAGAGGGTTCATCCTTGGGTGATTACAAACACTCACACCAAGTTTCGTCAAACTCCATTAAGAAACCAGCTCTCTATCGTGTCCACAATTAATTCAAGAACAAGGGCAATAACTCATAGTAAATATTTATCGATTTGTCTGATTTTCAATAGGGTTTATCCTTGGGTGATTACAAACACTCACACCAAGTTTTGTCAAAATCCATCAATAAACCAGATCTCTATCGGCGTCTAATTTGGCCTGTAGGCCTGATAGAGACTACATTTTTTATTCGTTTTTTGATGAAACTTGTTATAAGATCTCAGTAAAGCTTAAAATTAGTAACAATCGGATGGTTGGTTTCACCTATTAAACCACTACAGACTATGTTATCATTTCTGACAGCTGGTAGTGGGTGTATGTTACCTTGCCTGGCAAGCTATCTTACTAAGATTTTATCAATTACACCAGTAGATGGTTAACTGAAAGTTTGTATCGATTTCTTTTGTTAATAGGAATAGATTCACTCCTTTTTATACGGCCACATGAATATGTGGTCGTATATTGTCGTCGCCCCTGTCCGTCGGTCGGTCCGTCCGTCTGTCCGTCGGTCCATCCGTCAACATTTCTTGTGAGCACTATAGAGACTACAGTTTTTATCTGATTTTGATAAAACTTGGTGTGATGCTTTAGATTGATAAGATCTCGGTCAAGTTCGAATTTGACATATTTTCGATGAACGGTTTTTGAGATATTGCCCTTGACTAAGAACGCCTTGAAATTTGTTAAAAATTGTTCGTGAGCAGGATTGAAGCTACAGTTTTCATCCGATTCTGATGAAACTTGGTGTGATCATTGGAATTCATAAGATCTCGGACAAGTTCCAACTTGACGCATTTTCGATGAACGGTTTTTGAGTTATTGCCCTTGACTTTGTTTAAATGCGTCGAAATTTGTCAAAAATAGTTCATGAGCAGGATTGAAGCTACAGTTTTGAACCGATTCTGATGAAACTTGGTGTGATCATTGGAATTCATAAGATCTCGGACAAGTTCTAACATGACGCATTTTCGATGAACGGTTTTTGAATTATTGCCCTTGACTTTGTTAAAACGCGTCGCAATTTGTTAAAAATAGTTCGTGAGCAGGATTGAAGCTACAGTTTTTAACCGATTCTGATGAAACTTGGTGTGATCATTGGAATTCATAAGATCTCGGACAAGTTCTAACTTGACACATTTTCGATGAACGGTTTTT